CACATTGGCGACGATTTTCTTTTTCTTTTTCTGAACTTGGATACGGTCATTAAAAATTCAATTCCTGATAAATTCACATAACATAACATTCCTCACACATAACACTTTCACTTTCAACAGACCACACTACCAACAAATTAATGGAACAGCGATGGGTACGAAAATGGCTCCCTCTTACGCCAATCTCTTCATGGGGAAGTTTGAAGAACCAGCTCTAGCCGGTGCAACCCACTTCCCCCTCAACTAGTTGCGTTATATTGACGACATCTCACCCGACCTTGTATGTCACATGGCGAGGATAAATTACATGAATTCATCATGTACTTAAACAACCTACATCCCACAATCAAATTCACTAGTTCATTTTCTAAATCTGAAATCTCTTTCCTTGACGTCAACGTTCTACTAATCAACGGCACATTACAAACTGACCTTTGTGTTAAGCCTACAGACAAGCACCAGTACCTCCTCAAATCATCCTGCCATCCATCCCACACTAAAAAGTCGATCCCTTACAGCATGCAGCCATTACGACAAAGAAGAATTTGCTTGACAGATGATTTCTTTAACAAACGTCTCAACGAACTCACCACACATCTCATTAACAGAGGATATAAACACCTCTTCATCCAGCAAGAAATAAACAAAGTACGCCTTATCCCCGCTCTTCCCAACATAAACCATATTATTTCTGGCAATCTTAACATTCTTCATTCTTCCCCACGCGACAAAAAACCACTACCTTCCCCCCCTCTTATATCCCACCCCAGGTGAAAAAATCTACGTGTCATCCCAGCCAGAGCCAAACCCCCCAGACCAACCCCCCCCCCCCCCCCCAAAAAAAAAAAACAGCTGGAGCTTTCCGCTGTAACAGAAGTAGATGCAAGACGTATCCTTTTATTACAGAAGGAACCACGTCTTAAGGACTGCATCAAAGTTCGGGAAAAGAAAGAGAAAGTTGTTGTCTTTGAAATTACAATAGGCAGTTTCACGTTGTAGTCCTGCAAAGACGGCAATGAGATGTACAAAAAAGCGTGATGCACGTGCAAAGTTGTTGTTTTGCTTGTCTAAACCTAATGCTTTTTTGCCGTTCTCGTTGCCGTCGCCGTCGCCGTCGTCGTTGCATGAACTCCCTATTCCCTATAGTCCTTCGCTGACGTCGCCGAAATTACCTTTTCGCTTAAGCCTTTCACTGCCAGAGTAAATGTTGGAGTCCCTTAAGGCAGTTCTAACTTTTGAGTCTGTGGACAAAATCCTCTGATGTCGGTGAACGTGGGATGTGGCGTGGGATCGTATTTTAGAGCGTTTAAAGCTTGAAAACCTGAAATATTTATAAAGAAAAGCGTTAGCTCAGGGAAGTTGGCAAATGGTAAGTATGTTTTTGAAATTCAACCAAATCGTATCTGAATCATTACAGTAGAACCTCGATAACTCGAATTCCCCGCTAACTCGAACTAAATTTTCTTTATTCTGATCAAAATTTCACTGCAATTTACCCCGATAACTAGAATTCCTCGCTAACTCGAACTGTTTTTCGTTTCCCTTCAGAGTTCCAGTTACCGGTTGGGATCATTTTTCCAGTCTGTAACGATGGTTATTGACAGCTAACGTGAAGGAGACGACTGTGAAGTCTATTTCTGTTGTAATTTCACTCCAAACCTCGCTAGTGCAAGATTAATGTAAACACCTTAAACCAGTACGTGTTTCTGCTGATTTTTATGACGAATACCAAAACGATCAAGAGGGAAAGCACAACATGTGTTTGGTATTTTTAAATTGACATTTCTTATCTCCTACGCATAAATTGAATTTTCAATCTACGTCACAGACATGCTAGGCCACTCACGCGTCCAGCCGTCTCTTCTCGGGGAGGACCGAAAGAGCGGCCGAAATCGAGTCTAATTGGAGGCTGTTCGCACGTTTTAGCTGTCATTAGATAGTTTACGTTCTAGAAGTGAGAATTTTGAATTCAAGGCGATTTGTCTCTTCTGGAAGTGCTGTGGAACAAAGCTTGCAGTGCAAATGTACTTTTCCTTGGCTGGGAATTTATCTGTATCTCTATTTTCTACATATCTAAATTGATTATATATGATATATTCCTTTTCAATATTTGGCGCCTCACAGATTAATAAACTGAACAAATCCATGGAACGTTTCTTGAATTTTCCGCAATGTGTGTCAGTACTTGATCAGTTAGACGTGAGGGGCAATTTTACAGATTTAGGCCGACAAGCCTGTGAAGTTTTCCTCGGACTTTTTCACAAATATTGAGATCCCGACAAGCCCTTCTTTCGCTTCAATAGCTATTCCTTTATTTCTCCGACTCATTTTATCGAAATTTGGCGGCAGTCGGTTTCTATGGATGCGAGATATGAAAACAAATTGCACAAGGTCTGGCGATCATGCACCAATATTTCTTCTAACCTCAATAGCCAATTACCCTGAACACTCACGAACGACGTGGAAGAAAGAAAACAAAAAAAGTCAAGATAATCACAAAATTTGAGCCTAAAAAATGAAAAAGTACAAAACAAAGAACAAAACGTCCATCACAGGTGCACGCATCCGAAACGCCTTAATAGGGCCATTTATACGGAAAAAATAACGCACGTCTTACATAAGACGAGTACTTTCCGTGTAAACGACACATTTTGTCTAAAATAAGACGCGTATTATTTTAGAACAGCCCTTAACACCTGTTCTTAGATATGACGCGTCGTAGCAAAGACGAGAAAACTTCGTACAAATGACCTTCGCGTCTTCAGAAGACGCGGACGATAGTACGCATGCGTTGATTTTTGGCGGGAAAATTGTCGTTTGCCCCGCGGCGGACTGGCACACGGCTACTGGCAGAAAAAGTTGTTTACAAATTACAATGCGTTTCAGTTTCCTTGGATTGCCATCTATTCTAAGAATTTAAAAGCTTTATTTGTTTCTTCGCTCAAGTATAAAATGAACACGCCGACAAAGGCAAAACGAAACACGTGGTCCACCGCTGAAGAAAAGGATTTTTTGTTGTTATGAATAGAGAGGGCAATAGCAGACCTCTTGGAAAAATATTGGATTGCCGTTGCTACGGGCAACATTCACACGAAAACGAGTCAAGAACAGAAATAAGACGCGAACCGTTTATACGAGCTCTTTTCGTCTTAGATAAGACATGCTCGTATAAATGGTACAGTTCCAGCTTATTTAAGACGCATCTTATGTAAGACATGTCATATTTTCCCTCGTATAAATGGCCATAATATACTTGAGAGCAATTAGGGAGCTTTAGCAGCAACTACGACTGCGAAGGCTACAAAACGTCACTTAGATGAGTGAATTCGCGGTGCTCCAAATCATGAGTATCGCGCTTATTCTACCTCGTTCAATTCGTCAAATGTTCGCAATTATTTCTGGAATTAAATTTCAACTGAAAAGACCGTATCGAAGTTCAGGAAAAGAAATTAAAAGTTGTTGTTTTGTGTTCAACTCCTCCATAAAACTTGAAATGAGGCACTTCCACGATGTAGTCGCGTAGTGTCGGCAGTACAAAAAGCGTGATGCACTTCAGTGCAAAGTTGTCATTTGGCCGTAAATCTAAACCTCATGTTTGCTTTTTGACGTTTTTGCCGGTTGACCGTTCTTGCTTAAGCTCCTTAATAATGCTCTCCAAAACTTCTCTTTTCATTGGCCTCTGAAAACACACCTGTTATTGTCTTTAGGGCGTGTCACATCGTTTGGGTCATTCAAGGCTACTGTACGTTTTGTTAGTTTATTGAACAACTTGTTCTAAGGTGGAGCCCAACCCTACCGAGCAGGAGTTAAAATCTATAATCTTGCCTATTTTAAACTGACGAAGGTCGTAAAACCGAAACGTTGTAGATAAATTTGTATTATGTATTTATTTATTTTTAATCAAAAGTTGTCCACTTTCAATTTCTGTCTCGTTTTAACCAGTCTCTTGACTGCATTTTATATTCATATTTCTAAATTTTCACCCGTCCAGTTTATTGTTAATAAATAAATCGATAGTTTCGAACGTGCTGGCATGATAATGAGACGGTAATTTAAAAACTGATACAGTTCTTGAAGCTTTTGTCGATTGTTGTTTTCAAGACCCTAGCCTTGTGCTTGACTGGCTTGAGACAAAAAATAATTTCATTGGTGGAATATGACAAAAGACAAATTAGACAACGCAGCAGTCATGAAATTATTGCATTGCCGCAAATTAAATAACTTTAAATTTAGTACAAAAAGCAAGTGAACAAGTGATACGGTTGGAGACTATTAGCAAAGCAAGTAAAACATACCATAATGGCTCGAAAAGTTAAAAGAGCGTGAGCATAAAAGCATATGAAGTGAATTCTTTTTTGACCCTATATATAAAACCTGCCGTCATTTAAAAAACAAACCGTGCACGGCGAAGTACTCTTTCGCTTGGATGGCCAGACACAGTCTAAAGTCTTTGTCTGTAAATGTTCATGTAAAATACTGATAAACACACATTTACAGTTTCTTAAAAAAAGTACTACCCAAGAACTTCATAGAAGGAAACAAAAGTGAATCTCGAAGTAAACCGACTTGTACCCATACGGTCATTAACTGTTTGACTTTGGAGAGAACATAAGCAGTGACCTTTTAATTGTACACTGTTTTTTTTCAATTTCGTTTTATGAAGGTGTCTGCAGTAACCTTAAAACTCTTAGCCAACTCTTAATGCATAAAGCAATTTCATCAAGTTGGACATTCAGCTGATTGTATACTCCACTGCAACAAAGGTATTTTCTTTAATTCTAAATTACGTTCTTGATTCTCGAAGCTCGAGCGCGTCAATCAGTACAATGTCATGACCCCTACTTTGTTTTCTGAAGACAAAAAAATTACCAGAAGGGGAGCAACAAAAGAAACTATTTTTTCCGCGTTGATCGAATTTAAATTTCGTTTTGAATTTCTGTAGGTAGCAATCAAATTCATCAGTCTTAACCAGTTGTGTTAAGGGCAAGTTGTTTAAAGCCATGAGGACGGTTTCCTTGCTTGTCACCTGCCTCGTTTTCGCGAGCGTAGTGAGAGCTTCCGAAATCAAAGATGAAGGTAAACACTTTTTGTAGTTTATTCCTCTTTTTGGGTTTTTCAGTCATAGCCGGTGCGGACGTTTCCAGATCGAAGGCGTTAATTCAAGAGCCCAATGGCCCAATTTTTGGAGAAAAAATGACAGATTTAACCCCTCAAATGTCTTGAAAATACTGAGAAAATTGTTTAGATTTAAAGGTAGTTGAATCCTAGGGATATTGACTGAGTTTTTCTGAAAGCAATATACTTGACACAGAATTAATTGATCTCACTGTGTTGGAATCTATGATCGGAAAAATTTAGAAAAGACTGATAACTATCGGCACATCACCGGAATGCTGTGATAGCAACCTTTAGTTTGGTAAGATGTTGAATTGACGAACAGCAGAAAAAGAGGACTGAGAGGATTCCCTTGAGAAAGGACAAAATGTTTGTTCAACCTGTGGTTACTACAATTGAATTCCTGGGGGGGTTTGGCAATTTCGGGTGTGAGGGAGGGGGGCTTAGGGAAGTTGTCCAACTAATGCCCATTATTGAAGTTAAGGTTTATCTCCCTATACTTCCTACCCTTGCCTCTATTACACATTAGCTCCAGCCTACTAAAAAGCCTCATCGTCAAGGTATACGTGATATAAGCGATTAACACTACTCGTCAGAAAGGAGTCAGCTTTGTAAAAATCATCTTTAATTTTCAGTGATGAATTCTGAGCAGACTTCGTCAATTTTATTTAGCCCTATGATTCAATAACGTATTCCACGGTTGAAAGACAAATTTTTCTTACAAAGCACATTTTCAAGCGGAAAGTTGCCTGCGACTTTTCGGAGTGTAGAAATTATTTCAGTTTTAAGCATGTATCTTCGATTAAAAGCTCTCCGGTCTTCTAATAAATCTAAAGGAGAAGGGGGATATGGACCCCCTCACCTTCCCTTTGATCCTTCACTGTTCCTTTTATTGTTCTAATCGATTCTTAGTTCTTATAGCTTTTAGAGCTTTCATATGATGAATTATTGTACATTTTTAGTTTTTAATTCTTAGAATATAATAGGGTCGGGGATTGCGTACCTGTAAACTATTGTAGCTGATTAAGCTACGCGTAAACTGCACTTTAAATAAAGTATCTTGTCGTATCGTATCCCTTGCCATCACGAAGAGATCCGAGGAGATACAGATTATAATCATGCAAAGTCCGTTCAAGACGCGGAATTTTGCCTTCTGGCCAACCTAAATTTACACAAGTAAAGCTGTTGATTCAGCAAGCCAATGTGAGCAGTAGAACAAACTCAAACATGGATTGCAGGCAAAAAGATAGCAAAATTTCCAAATGCGTTAAGATTACTCAGTATCTCGGACATTAAATTTAATGTTCGGCAAACTGAATTAAAGCCGTGCATCAAAGAAATTAATCCATCATCAATATTCTGACTTCCATCTTGAAAGTAACGAGGAAAGTTCTTTGAAAACGTCACAAACAAGTCGTTATTCAAGACAGTTGTGTTTTACCCTTGTTATAGTGACTTACAACCTTCTAGAATTAGTACCTTTTTTGTTCAAAGTAATCCGAGCTAAAAGCCACGTAATAAAGATTACTAATTAACTTACTAATTGTAGGTGCGTCTTTGGTAATTGCAGGATGGCGATAGGGTTTAACCAATAAGCATTTTTTCCGCTTTGAGATACAATGGCCCCATAAGAGTTATGTTTAATAACATGCCTGAGGGGTCTAGAAGTTCCGCTTTGAGAGAAAAGATTCAGTTAGGCACAGCAAGTTTAACGCACGTAGGACGCTATATGCTTGATGACAGCGACAGTCAGTGGCCTTCGATAAAGTAATACATTATGATTACAAAGCTTAAAAACTCTTTATCCAGTGCGATCGAATTCATACAAACTTTTCCACCGTCACACAATCGAGACTGCAAGTTATCCCTTTACTCCCTCGTATGATCAGATGTTCCATTTGCGTTTAAAAATAACAAATCAGTCACGCCAAAAGGAACCGATGCGACGCTTTTATTGGTGTGCTGTAAGATGGCACGGAAAGTTAAAATTCAATTTTCTAATTTGAAGATTGTGAAAAAAGAATAAAGGAAGAAAAAACAATGACTACTGTCAGTAATTTTTAGAACTTTACATACATTCTTACTGTGCTAAGCCCCACTGAACAAGACAAGCGAGACCCTTCTCTCTCAACTCTAACCGTTGTGGCTTTTTTACCACAGCAACTGAATTTGTTCGTTTTTTCTGTAACTAGTAGGCCAAGTTCCTGAATAGGCTGTTTAAATTCAAACCAACTGGAGTGAATATTTCAGCGTTGTAAAAGGACACATGCTTTCTAGGATAAACTTAAAATTATTACTGTTTTTTTGCTGTTTATTTCAGTCGGCAAAAAGCTAAGCGGAATATTTTGTGCCCCGAGGGAGCTAACTACCAATTAAACGCTTTCGTAAGAACTCTTATTGTTTTACTCTAAACAAAAAGAAAAAACTTTTAACTCCTAGAAATGGCCCATTTCGATATCTTAAAAATCTTGGCTCCGAGGATTTAAACTTAAATAAAACAATAGAAATCACATTAAGGTTTAGGGACAGGGTTAGATACATTATGCTAAAAAATTTGAGCATTATACTTTTGAGCGTCACCCTCAAAACAACAGCCTTATGCTTGCCTAAAATTATGCCCGAAAAGTTAAGCCTTATGCTCGACTGATCCTCGCTGTATTTGATTCCCTTTTCCATCCACGCAGATATGAATACATTCTATTGCATCAGTTACTTCAACAAATTTCGAACTGGCACAGCCATGATGGATAGACAATTGGGCAGTCTTGGCACCCTAACAAAATGACGCTACGGTGCAACAAGCTAGACATTAAAAGTAGCAATCTAACCTTTAATTATGTTAATCCTCACTAAAAGCACTTGGAAGTCAAAACTTCTCAGTACAGATATGGAAATTATTGTCTTTATGCTGAAAAAAAAAATGGCCGCCGTTATGCCGGCATTATGCTCGATGCTCCGTCTATAGCATTATGCCCAAAATTATGCCGGCATAATGCATCTAACCCTTTTCAGGGATAAATATATAAACCGTTTCTTTGAGAAGAGCCGGAGAGCATATCTGTTGTTTTCGACTGAGTTTCGTGATCCACTGCTCTTGGATCCTCTTGCCAGTGTGATGACGTTAAATAGCTGACAGGTGATGGCTTAAGATTTTTTAAAGTGTTTTATTCCCCTAAACCTAGGGGTCTTTGGATAAGGAAGAAGACTTATGTAGCCCAGGTTGATTTCCTGTAGCAAAGCAGCTAAAAAAGATCTTGAATTGATTGGCAGTAATTTATTTGGTTCTAGTAATTCTCCCACAAAGTAAAGTTTTACGTCAATTTAATGTTAAAGACTCACTAAGATTAAGGCAGGTTTTCTCCTCATGTTGCGAAGTGTTTTTGCTGCTGACGTTCAGCTATTTATCGACACTTGCTGAGCATCTCAGAAATCCACTCGAAGGTTTGACGATTTCAAGGGAAGAGAAGAAAGAGAGAGAAGATGGTACAAGATGTGTGGATAATAAATAGCAAGCCCGGCTAAAAAAGAAACAGGCATACACCCCTAATGTCCATCCGCCCTTATTCCTCCAGAAAAATTGATGAACATTTACGATGTAAGGCTTGCAAAATTTAAATGTCACTGGCACCGTCAAAGAGGCGGACCTGAGGCAGACTTCCAGCGACTTTGTGGAAGTGTGGAATTAAGGTTAAAGCCGACTATGGCTCCATGATTTTCATCTAGAAATTAGCTAGAAATTAGTATGTGTAATCAAATGATGACAAGTGAAATTAAGGAACATTCTCACACGCGTTTTGTAGAAATTATTAGAATTTCACAAGTTAAGTTTACCATTTTATTACACATACTTATTTCTCGCCAATTTCTAGATGCCAAAAGACATCGTTTGGTCAATAAAAAGCTGCCCGCAGAAGAAATCATGGCACAACACCTCTTAGAATCTTTCTTGAGATGTGTTTTTTTTTTTTTGGTGCGTTCATTTAGGTTTTCTAAAGCATGTTGTAATGCCCTGATCTTCATTCACAACATCGTAAACGCCATCTTGAAACGTTGCCATAGCAAACTTGCGCCAAATTTTTAAGTTGTCACGTCCTTGATATTAATCCAGAAATTGAAATCAAACTACAGACTTCACCTTACAATTTTTTAAATTTATTTATTTTTTTATTTTATTATATTACAGATTTGAATAATATTATTCTTAAGATTTAAAAGGCGGATTAAAAGAATAAATGGAGAAGGGCAAGATATCAGTGCAACTAATTACATGCCCTTTGATTAAATTACAGTTTTATCTAGGATACCAGAAAAAAAAAAAGAGAAGTATATAAAGTTCGAAATATATAAGAAGGAGGAAAGAGGAAAATACTCACAAAAATTATAGAACATACGAGGGTCGGTGTGGCGATGATTATTACTGAGCATGCAAGATAATAATAACTACCTTACAATTACGTTGTCTACTTACAACTGATTGTTGTTTTGTTCAAGATCCCACTGTAACTGTTGATGGACAACCGGCTCCAGGAGATGCACCAGGTCAGTAAGAATCGTATACCATTATGCTATTGCACGAAGAAAAGACCGCGACAGTTATGATCGGAGAATAATACTAGCCCAGGGTTCGGTTTCCGAAAGGCCGATTAGCGCTAATCCAGAATCAGTACAGTAAAATTTGTTCTACTTTTTGTATTTACCTTGCTATACATTGCTTAGAGTAAGATTTTGTGTTATCATTACTGTATCTCAGAGTAAAGGCTCTCCAGTGTTTTGCAAGCTTGAGTTATATGTTCTTAGACAAGAAAACCGTGCTTAAAATTTAGCTTAATCTTAGGGTAAACATAACCATCTTTCAAGGAACCGGGCCCTTGTGTTGATGACTACTTTATAGTAATTTACCGCCTTGCTTCCGATGGCCAAGTTTTTCATAATATGGAGGTTAAACACCCTTTTTAATACTGCAAACGGCTCTCCTCGGTTTGCTGTTTGACACCGGTAATCATCCAGAGACGGTCTTGTGCTACCCCAAACGGAGTGAAAACTCAGAGCTCTTTGTCAGTGGGCAGAGGTGAAGAATACTTTTTTATAGTAGAAACTCGGCTTTCTGTGAGCTGAAATGTGATCAACTCGACTTCCATTTCAGTCAAGTGCAACATGAAATAAAACAGCATTCAGCATACTGAGTTTTAATGCTCATGAGGCAAACGAGCAGCCAGTTATAAAACGTTTTTTTTATGAACGAGAAAGCCAACTTCTTTACCTTTAAAACGATTGCCACAAACTCGAGAAATAACGAGAAAAAAGCAAGTGTGGTCATCTGCTGTTAGCCGTAAAAGTGGCGCTTGACTAAACGCTCTATTTTGGCTACCGTCTTTATATCGCTAAACACTGAAAACGGTTTGCTCTTCCCGACATGTTGTTTTTCGGTAAGAGCTGCAAAATTGCTGGATAATTTTTTGGGGGTTAAAAAGTTATTGCTAATCATCGTGATGACGTACATAAGAATAACAGAAATAACGTATTCCATCGCTGATTTTAGCAAAATTAGACAGCAAAAATAAATAACAGATTTAACACAAACTGATTAAATTACGTTAAGAAACTAACCAGGCAATTTTGCAAATTTACGAATTAATTCCACCGTCAATCAAATAATTTGATTCAAAATTTTTCAAATATTAGAAATAAATTAGAAATTATAGATTCATTATTTCCTAAATCAAAGGCATGAGCCTTAAAAGCAGTATTCATTCCATGCATTAACACTCCAATCACACTTACAAAAAAGAGCAGCAGGCTTTGCCTGAGCCTAATATCTAAATATTATTTTCTTCATATATCCAGCAAAAGATACTAAAAGGCAGGAAGATGAGCTGTTGGAAGAAAAAGGAAATGAGGAGCCTCTTGCTAAAACTACTGGTGACGAGAAAGCTCCAGCAAAGAGAAATGGTAAGTTCAAAGAGCCAATAATGCACTGTTTGTCTAAAACATCATGGAGTGGTTTAACCCTTTCAATGCGAGAGTGCTTGATGAAATTTTTTAAGGTGACTCTAACTTTTGAGTATGAGGACGAAATCCTATGATGTGAAAGCTCTCTGCCTATACTTACACATGGTGCTATTTGTTTAATATGTAGTTCTAACTTTTGAGTCTGCAGGCCAAATCCTATGATGTGACCATTCAAATGAAAGCTCTCTGCCTGTACTTACATGTGGTGCTATTTGTTTTTCAAAATTTCACAAAATGGAATTTGGAAATTTGGTCGAAATTTGCTTTTGGCTAAATTTGACAGTGAAAGGGTTAAAGGGGTTATGTTATAGGGCAAAAAGCTGTTTTAGGTCAATTCTGTGCCTAAGTCATTACTTAATAATGCATTTACCCATACACAGATTAATAGTACTCCTGTGGAGAGTTATGAAGAGGTTATCAAACAATTTCATAGGAAGCTTTAACCATGGTGATGTTCCAGGATAGCGCTCATTTAAACTTGAAAAAAGTGGCCCAATTTTTTCAATGCCCATCCTTGACTTCTAACGGACGGCAGGAATATGTCCGGAATTCAATTGATGTGAAAACGTGTTTTAGCTTTTTAAAAAGACAGCAAATAGCGTGACAAATAGCTCCTTTAAGGAACAGTTTACACAGTCAAGGCTCTAAATATTTTCTGGTTGACGTGATATAGTGAGTTACTACTTGTACCAGGGTAGAACCAGTACTTGCATTGATGTATGTTTGAGTATACTCATGTATAGGTGCAGACTAAAAAATCATGCACTCAAATCCTCCATAACCACTGTGGAACAAGTACACAGGATTCTACCAGGACGCTGTTAAAATGCCAAAGAAAGAAAGTGCATGCATAGTGTTGAATCCTGGCCTCAAGAAAAATTGTTGCAAAAATTTAAAGGACAGTAAACGGCGTTGTATTGCATGTACGGTATTTTCCGGTACAGTACTGTGCTGTATGAATTGCATTGTATTGTTCTGAAATTTGTGTTCTGAACGATGCATGTGGAATCTGATATTCCATGAGAAATTTTCTTTGTGGCTCACTGTTTTTCTTCACATCCCTTAACTAATAAATCAAATACTACCATGAATTAAATGTCACAGAAATGTCACCTATTGATTTTCTTTACCAAGATAAAAAGAATCTCGTCAATGGCGAGGACCTTAAATCAGAAGATTTGGAAGAAGAATCTACAGTCACTGTTGATGGATTACCATCTGGTTTATCTGAAGATGAGATGGATGAACCCTCCGAAGATTCCGGACCTTGGGGTAAAACAAAAAAAAAATCGTTTTTCCATTTCTTTGTTTTGTTTACAATACTTTACCTTACCTATATCATTCCGCTATGAGTTGCGCATAAGGCCTCGATTCACACCTTGACGTTTATCTTAGTTTCCGTAATGACATTTATTTTTACAAGAAAAGGTACTACTACTACTACTGCTGCTGCAGCTGCTGCTATCAAGTAAGGCCAGAATCGCTTGAGACTTTTCAACCCGCATCCAGCAAGGTGAAAAACGAAAACGATGCCATTCGAAATCGGATTTCGGACTTTGACAAGCGACGCATTTCTCTACCAAAAAACCGATAAACAAACTAGCCATGAATAACAGAAGACTCTTGATAGCAGCTGTATTTCATTTTGTACATCCAGTGGAAAAAATTAAGGCAGGTAAAAACATCACAAGTTGACACAAAACTCTGTCAGCTTCAGCTGTCAAAGTAAACAAGTTTCAAGATGCTGCATAAATTTTCTGCATTAACTCACCTGTCAAATTTTGACCAATCAGAGCATAAAAATTGGACGTAGAGCGTGCCAAACGCGTGACCTTGGTAAGAAAAGGTCTTCCCCGCCTGTATTTCTAAATAACTGGCTCAATTTTCACGTCCGAGATTAGTTTGAAATCAAAATCTTAATAGTGCGGGGCCATAGTGACACAACACAACATATTTCCTATGAATTTTTTTAAAAAAATAAACTTGAGCCCGCGATCGTTTGAAAACTAGTAACTTCTCAGCGGAGCTCCGCCCCCGGAGCGCGCGCGTGCGGCTCCGCTACAACTACAGTGTAAGATGATCATGCACTCAAACGAAATCGATATTTCTTTCTTAAGTGTTCCTGCTGTCTTAAATGAAAATCCTACGGTTAAAAAAAAAAAACAAAAAAACAATGTTACGCTGAAACTTATGCTGGCATAGTTTGGGCCGTCCAAGGAATGTCTTGGGCAGACAAAACGATAGACCCTAATCAGAGCAACGTACATTCCCCTCATGTGGTGTCGACACTCACAATACGCCCTTCTTTCAACTTCAGATAAAGATCATTAAGCGAATATCCATCTCCACTGCTCGAAAGAGCGCCTTTAAATTATTAAATTTACCAAGTAGAAGGTGATACGTCCTAAGTAAGCGAGAATGTTGCTCCACAAAGTCATGTAGTTTTACGGAAGTTTGTTTGGTGGGAGCACGAAATGAGCCTCCACAATGTTAACGCGGTCTGCAAAATTCCACAAAGGAGAGGAACTTTACAGATTTTAACGCGTCTTTCCAGCCGTGTTGATGGTAACTTGAATTGTCCCTCTAAAAAGGAGCAAGAAACCGTGAAACAAATTTACAGACGAACAAAATATTTTGACTGATAAAAAATGTTCAGTATGAGATATAAAGTGGCTTAATCTGCATTTTACTTACAGTGGAACCAATCACACTTCAAGGGTTCCACTTAGGGCCCCTTATCGGTATATTTTACTATTACTGGGACGAATGTTATGATTCGATCTACCAAGAACTTCCTTTTATTGAGGAAAGTTAAATCCAGTTTTCACTGTAATTAAAATATAGTGTTACTTAAGCAGTTATAGATACTTGTAAAAGTTACTTAACTATATGAAAAAGCGTTTGAAATAGTCCCAGGATACATTTACAATGATAATTAACCATGCTGTTAACCATATATTACCTCATTTCTAGTATGGAAAAAACATCCCTTTAGCTGGTGTACAATTGGAGGGCGAAAATTTTTGAGCGGAAGGAAAGGTGTACCACAAACCTTCGCGCAGTGTGCCAGCGAATGTAACAAAACACGAGGATGCCATGCGATTGAAATGTGGTTTGCTTATAACTGGAACTGTTACTGGTGTACGAAACCAGAATTGATCAGACCTTACACCAACAAACGTGATCTGGCCTACCCTGTACATGTTTGGACACGAGGTAAGTGTTATCGATCATTAGGGATATTAAGCTAAGACTTTTAGAGCGATGCACGTCAACCGAAAGAGAACTTTTTGCATCCCTGGGCAGTCGTCCCGGGGCAGGGGGTCCTCTCTATGATGGCCTGTACTGGGAGGCTCCGCTCGAAAGGGGTATCTTTTTCAGGCTTCAGGTATATGAAAGGGTAGAGATTTCACTAGTTGACGCATAGTGTAGGGAAATCTGACATTTGGGTCTTTGAAAGGGCCCAAAAGGGCTAACAAATGAATTTTATGGCTTTGTAAAGTCGATTAAACGTTCTATTTTTGTGCTTGATTCCTATTTAAAAGACAGTGCAGTTAAAAGGGGTGCAAACTTCTAAACAAGGCATGTGAAAGGGAGACCTTTGTCAATAGAAGGTATACAAAAGGGCTACCTTTTTCGTGAAAAATGGTATATAAAAGGGTAAGGAGTTTGACCTTAGGGCGGAGCGTCCCGAATAAAATTTGTTGAGTCCAACCACCCCCCCCCCGCCCCCCACGACGGGCAGTGTGGTTCTACCCACATGTTTGAGCAAATTAGCTCAAATTGTCTTTATAAGCGCAAAGGCACTTCCGGTTAGCAATACAATTTTTTTAGTGTCAAGACAAATTAAAAGGGAAAAGGACTTTCTTCCTGTTGACGTACGCATGCGTCGCTCAAAACCTCTTGCGTAAACTCCCTATTATAAAAACAACAATTAAGAGTGCACTATTATTCGTTCTCTGAAAGTAAGCCTTTGATTATAAAGCCTGAGAATTAAACTTGCTTAAATTTTCTGTTGTAACTAGTTTTGTTGCTTTTTTGCTTCTATTGTTTGTTTGTTTGCTTTTTATTCAATTTACTATTGATTTCATGATCGTCTGTCGGTGATTTTTAGATCATGCAAATTGAAAGTTGAAATTGCCCCACTTCAAACGAAGAGCAAAAATTGTATACAAATATATAATGCATAATCAGTCCAATCTATGTGTTGTCAAAGGATCATACTTTAAACCTTGATGAAATGAACAAAAACTGATTATCTCTCTCTCTGACTCTTTTTTCCATGCAGTTAAAAAACCACCCCCAGGTATGTGCAATTCCTTTTATACCTTTAAGTATCTTCCTCTTTCTTCTTCTTAAGGCTAAACTCGTTTTGTTCATGAGATACACATGTCCTTACGTTGTGAATAAATAACGGTGATAGGACTGAGTGTCCAATTGGATCTCTAATCATACGAGTTTTACGCGGGCGTCCGATTTGTTTAATCTGAGATAAGTCCCTTATTCTTAACCTAACCATTTTTAATAACAGCTGAGTTTGAGTACACATCAATCTAAAAAATTCATGAAATAAAAAAAAGGTCTAATAATACTGCAACTTATCGCGAGTATGACTACAGACTGAATTGGACGATAACAAAATTTGTAATATTTTAGGTTTTCTTAGCTTAAAACACAAGAAATTCCGAGAGTTTTTTTTTGCTGGCAGTGAAAAATAGCCATTCAAGTGCGCGCGTGCGATGGCTCATACTGTCCAATTACTTTGGCATCACGTGCACAGTCCTATTAGTGCTGAATTCAGGAAAGTTGATAGCCAATCAGAGTTGCAACTTTTCTTACAGTTATGATTAATGCGATAGTCAGCGTTTCACGGTCGAGAAACAAAAAAATGTGGCATTGCGTAATTATGGACCAAGTGTGAGGCTTCAACATGGCTGAATATTGACCTAGATTTTTGCGTTTTTATTAACTGTGACGAAGTTGAGGTCAATGAAAACGCCAAAAATAGAACGAGCCACCTTGATCCATCAAGCTTGGTCATCGAGGGTTGCTCTGGTAATTGGTCATTAGCGGCAATTGAGCATTAGGCATTTGGGCATTCAGAACTCACTGACTGCTATGTTTTACTTGAGTGACGACCAGTGCACAGTTGTCCAATGCCCAAAGCAATCTTTATTGAATCAGGTGTTTAACCACCAGAAAATTGGGCCTGTGCTCTATCCACTGACCATGAGCTTAATTAAGCAGACGGCTCTTAGGAGCACGGTCACGTACTACCGTTGTATGTTGAACACATGTTCTGCAAACTGCTAGTATCGGCAGCGTCGAGAGCGTACTTTGTGAAATAAATAAAAGAGAGGCTTGAGGCTTGCTAACTAAATGTAATTGAGCTTGAAATTAATCATTTTTCTTTATTTATTATGTCAAAATGTTGCACGAAGCATTATAAAGTGACCAAAATCAAACTCACAACTAAGAAAGCCGTTTGCTTTTTCGATTAACACCACCTTCTGTCAAGACAACTTGTTTTACTGTTTCTGAACGCGAAACCCTTTGGTGTCTTTACAAGTAACCTTTCTTACTAAACATATAAATAAGCCTAAATAAAGAAGAAAACACAAGACATAGTTGCGTGTTTCTTCCCGCTACTTCCTGTCGACTTTTCCGAAAAACCGCTTCCAAACTGCTTCACAACAAAACAGGGTCCAGTCAAGGCTTCTTTGTTTGTTGTGAAGCGCAATTGGACAGCAATGGAAATGGCGAAGTTTAGAAATAACTGTTGTTATTATTATTATTATTATTATGCATATATCAGCACAGTAATAGATACTATTGGCAGATGGCGTGACAGCCTTAGCTCCATGTTTGATACTCTCATAAAGCACGCGTTTTAAACCAATCAGAGTGAGCGTTATATCTGAATTTATTATAAATTCGATTTAGTTTTCCCTTCTAACCCATAAACTGATCTTTGTAGCGGTCAATGTCACCTGTGAACAGAACGAAATGTCGATCAGCCTTCCAAAGGCTCTTCTTAAGGGTTTGGACAGAGAGCATCTTCGCCTCCGTGATTTGAGCTGCGGAGCCACGGAAACCAGTACTCACTTCATTCTTAGCACAAATCTCACTGGATGTGACACAGTCAAACGACACACCAAGGGCTTTGTCTGCTACATGAACAAGGTGGAGGAGATTCCCATCAAGCCAGGTCAGATCATCACACGAATTCGGGAAGTGGAAATCCCCTTCGCCTGTTACTACTCCAACATGGGAGTCGTATCCGCCGTTGGCCTTCAAGTCAAAAGCAAGAAAATCGTCTTTTCGGAGAAAGGATTTGGAAAATTCGTACTGGTACTGGATATTTTTCCTACTCCTAGATTCGAACTCCCGTACAAGAAAAAGGACTTCCCGATTGTGGTACCGCTGAGGAAGATACTGTATGTGAAAGTCAGCGTTGATACAGAAGACGAGAGGCTTCGCGTCCTGGCAGTAGATTGCTGGGCTACACCAGACCCTAACCCTTTCAGCAGGGGATTGAGATACGACCTCATTAAGGATGGGTAATCATATTTTCATCTTGATGTATATAACTGCAACTTGTAAGTGACGAGGAAGTGAGCGAGCGTCCCCAATTGCTTTTGGGATCGTTACTGAAGACGCGCCGGTCTGCTATTGGCCAATAAGTCTTAGCGAAAGTTAACTCGTCCCAGTTTGCTTCTCTTGAGCAGCAAACGCAAACACTTTAGTTTCGATGGCAATTAAACTGCCCACCTAACCCTCCCCTAAGCCAACATTTTACCCTAAGTGAGAAGGAAGTGTTAATGTTGGCATAGGGGAGGGGTAGGTGGGCAGTACGGCCCAGAAACGTATAATAATACCAAATATCAAGGTTATAAATCCCAACTGGTAGGAGGCCGGCCAGTTGGCTATTTACAAGCGTGGCTGGGGATTTGAACTCGGGGCGATCCTGAACAAAGGCCAGCTAGCGGTTAGGCGCCAGTTGTCCGAAAGGTGGATAGCGCTATCCACTGGATAAATCACTATCAACTGGATAGCGCAATTGGTTTCCCTAATAATTATCCGATAGATAGCGCTATCCATCTTTTGAACAACCAGGGCCAGGGCGGAACTTGAACTCGGGGCCTCCTGATTACACGTCCAGTGCTCTAAGCACTCGGGTGACGCTGCCTTAGAAAACTTGTGAGTCTTGTGTTTTTCTGTCTGTTTTAGATGTGCAGTAGATAATACCGTAATGGACATTCGAACATTGGACAAGCGTATGCAGAAATTCAAATTTGAGGCCTTCAGTTTTATAGGTGACAATCAGTTCGTCTACCTGCACTGTAAGGTCTTGATTTGTAACGCAACCGATCCTAACTCACGTTGTGCGCAGGGCTGCGTTCAACGAAAAAGGAGGGCCGTGGCAACTCAAGTATCCAAGGACGAGGAAGTACACGTGTCTCAGGGACCATTCATGCGTGGAGATGACGAAGAAGAAACGAAAGTAGAGGAAACAGTGAAAGACATGAGTGATACAGAAAAAAGTGGTGAGTTTATTAATCGTGAATTCAATGTTTGTTGTTCGTCTCACGACGGTCACCTTGACATTTATCACGGCAATTGGACTGCTAGTACTGGTTTACGAATGGCGTCTTCGATTCGACAATATTTGTTAGTCTGTTCCGCAGGCGTTGTTTGTGTCGTCACGTTTGGTCACGTCATGTTTGTAGGGAGGAGCGTTGCGTGATAGCGACTGATGAGGCAGTTCAACATTACCGTAAACTTCTGCTTATAAGCCCTGGATTTATACAACTTTGTAAGGGGTATTAAGAGGGCTTATAAACGGAGAGGTCTATAACCGGACTAAAAAAAGCGCTTCAAAACAAGCTACATAATTAGTGCTTATCAAAATAGTATTTAAATTTACTTGCTTTTTTAGCTTTTCAAAAAAATTGATTTCATTTCAATACAAGCCGCCGGTGGGCCCGAATCCAGGGGCCTTATAAAAGAATGTATTTTTTTGTTTACAGGTAAATAGGCCTACAACTGGGGTGGGTTGTAGGTTTACGATAAGTACAATAATCATCACCAAAATGTCAAAGTTTTTTGATAGCAACTTCCACCTAGGTGCCGCAACTTTCGTCACCTGTATCATCCGTTGTATTCAGGACTAAAAACACCTATTCCACCGTGTCCACTCGTGACATCAGTTATATTCGGGATTCAAACGATTAACTGTACAATATTGTACTCTTACAGGTACGTTTCCTACCTTGGTCGCTGCCATGGCTGTGGTTGCTGCCGTTTGCGTCATGGGTGTGTCTTATTTCGCATGGAACAGTAGGAAGCGAGGAGCTGTGCGTGATTACCAGCGACTCACTGTTACCGCTGAAGACTAGAAATCTCATTTTTGTTTGAATTCTGTAATGTTATACGTGATAGGATAGGAGATTTTCTGTGATTAATTGAGGAACTCAACAAATACAATGTAGTCTTATTGGCAAGTGTTTGTGGTTAGCCAGGTCCGAAGCATCTGAATACCAAATGTGAAAGGTTTCTAGTTTAACACTTTATATTTAACACCTTATATTTGTAATTAAATATACAAAACTGGAATTCATCTGAGCAGTGTTAATTAACCCTTTTGTTGGCACAAAAAAAGATAAATAATAATTATCTTTTGAAGTGTAACAGTTAAGTAAGTTTAGATACCGCAATAAAAAGCGTACTAGTCACTCGCACATTTCCTCTTCAATTAAAATAAAGCTGTTAAACATATCAGTAGATGGAGGATCCCCTGCAAAGTTAGTATGCCTTACTTAACGTCATAAAGAGCCACAAAGTGCTTTCCACTATTAAAAGATATTCTTAGGAGACTCTGTTACTGCAATGGACAATCGACTTTTTGTGAACTTTCTTTTCTGTTCGAAATTAAAATTGAAAAAGTTGTTCCCTTTGATACCATCGCAAAGTACCCAGATAGACTGTGTTTTTTGGAGTACGAAGTAGTATCGACGATAAGCCAAATTTGAACACGGCTATAATGTAAATTATACTGGTTTAATAAGGTTGAAATTATATAATTCAAAAACTTAACCTCAAGAAACTCTTCCGAAAACTGCTAACATTTCGTTGTAAACCTAATTATCACACTCGACTATTGAAAATGTTTTCCTGATCAGTTTGAAGGATTACAGCCCTCTTTAAAACTAGGCACCATTCCCTACTCTATAAACTTTAGGGAAAATGGGCACAAGCTTTCGGCGCAGTGCTTTCTGGGATAGTTTAGGTGGACAAGCGTTGGTTATGATTGTTCCATGGTATCCAAAGGCAACGCTTGTCCGCAAAAACGATCCAGAAATCGTCTCTTTGAAAGATTGTGCCCACTCTCCCGAACATTTATGGGATGGTAAATGATGATAACAATTTTGTCAAATGAGCCTGGCTGTTCTAGTTTCTCGTTTTTGAAAACAATGGCGTCCTTCGAGATCTTCCAGGCTTTCCCCACATCCCTTCTCCCTCGCGCGGTCTCGCGCCTAAATTCCCTTCTCCTTCCCTTTCCCTCTCTTCCTCGTCCTTTCTTCCCTTTTGTTCCACCGCTATCCATTTCGCGCCACACTTCACTATCTGAAGACAAGGAACAGGCTAATCAAAGGACAGAAAACAGTACTAGATTACATGATTCTACGTTATTGAAGAATTTCTCCCTTTTACATAAATACTATATTCTATGGTATTTCTCCGTGAGACTCATATATCTATTACGATTGGTTGGCTCACCTGTGGGCTAGAATAAACCTGTAAGTTTATTTCGTTTAGTAATAAGCAATAAGTTCTCTAGCCCGTTGTGAGTACGAGATAAGTTTTTGCGATCGAATCATGTGAATTTTAAAATAGTCTAAAAGAGTTTGACAAGAAAATTCTCCCCAATTCTTGACGGATTAATTGCGACAGGTTAACGTCAGCTTTCGGCCTTTTCTGGGCACGCTCCCACTAATCAGCCGATTTGGAAAGGCTCTGTCAGAAAAGGGTAGCTTTTCTGGGCTTCAAGTATATAGAAGGAGAGGGATTTCACGAGTCCAACTAAATAAAAGCACAATGAAATTTGTGGTTCGAGTATATTCCAAAGGGCCTTTAACATCTCCTCCGGTAATACTTCATGTTCTCTCATAATATTATTCATAAACTACATCCCAAGGGTTTTAGAAAACGGCAGTAATGTTCTAAAAAGTAGTTATGTAAAGGGGGCACCTATTCGTCCAAATTGGCATATGAAGAGATAAGGGGGCATAGACTTTAGGGCGGCGCCTTCTTTCAGTTCATATAACTCTTATTATCTGTTAGTAGTGATCACGATTGATTCCTGTCTTGGTTCTGGTAGAATACATTTTTTGGTTCAATGAGAGCCCAGTGTGACAATCATGAACACTGTCCTTAATATTTCTACAATTGCAGACTTATTCCGCTTGCCTAAACGATTAAAACTTGGTAACTTGAAAGATAAAATAAACCGCTGCGTTGTAGAAGTAACTGATGAAGAGAAAACTGCCGTAAAACCTCACTGTATTAAAGAGATTAAGAGACACGTTTACGGGAAACAGCAAACGTGAATTTGTCTCACATGACCAAGTTTTCGCCTTACTTGTCGTTTCCCAGTTCATTACTTCTACACAAATTTTAGTAGCTTCAGGATTGTTTTAGATAGCTTTTTTCTGCTCACTTTCCACTTTCAGAATTTCTCAACTTGCATCTGACTTTTGCCGTTTGCCATTTGCCTTAAACGTGACTCGTCGAAATATTTCTGTTGCTTATGCAACCTGTGAAGCTCCAGTAGGATTTTGTTTTATCCAGTAAGCTGATGGCGCGTGCTATCTTTTATTCACATGCTTCATTGACAAACCGCTCAACCATTGGATTTATATCTTTTCATGTCTGAAAATTAATCTTTTCTCAGAAACCGTCATGCATTGTTTTCTTTTTGAAAACAATTTCCCTTTGTCGACAAGTATTAAATGCGTTATCATTAAGAGTGAGTCAGCAATTAAAAAAAGTAAACTTCTTGAAGCTTATTCCTGATTGTTGTTATGAAGCCATTCACCTTGCACTTGACTCGCTCACGGGATAGCATAGTGCTTCTATTTTCCCATTTTCTTCCTCATTTTCGGGTTTCCCACAAATATTTTCACGTAACGCGCTTCGATTTCGCTGCTTGACTTTCGGGGCAAGTATTTGTGGTGCCGTCGTTTTAGCGTTATCTTTTCATTCTGTTGATTGTTGAATAGTTTGATTAATAGAAACGTCAAATATAACCTCTTGAAAGGTATTTCCTTACAGCAGCTGGCATTTAAGGACATTTTAGGACATAAGACATTTTGATTTGCGTCATTTTACTGAGCACTTATTAAAGTCAATTATTAAACCTTTAACGGTCGCACTTGACAAAGACATTGAGGGCCGAAACCTCAGTACCATTTTTAAAGGAAATGCATTTTACGAAATTCCAAAACCAGTCGATTGTTTAATTAATAACTACTACAATGAAATGCCTTAACAATCGCTTCAAAGGGTAGATTCACTAAAAAGGAAAACAAGAACAACCAATTTTTAATTTTGAAAAACAAGAAGACCACTGTTTCAATGAGCTTTTTGTTAATTTTTTTAGCTCTCAAGCAAATTTCAAACTAGCACCCTATACGTACCTATTTTTCGGTCAAGTCTGCGGTTGTGTGGTTGAGGGCTAAAATAACATAATATTCAAATATCGACAACAACTTTTGAACAATGATTACTATTTCACTTAATTCTAGCGTCCTTCAGCATTTTACGAACAAAATCTTATAGTCTCTGTACGTATGATCGAAATTGGTTAATTGAGGTACATGCCTCACCACATGATCGATGCATATACATGTTTTACAATTGTGACGCGCTAATGAAGGAAAAAAACCTTTAGATGACGCACTTGCCTCAAGGGGGAGGCCTCGGACGTTTTGATGGACGTGCACAAACACACAAATCCTTCCATTCAAGACTAAATTATGTAATTTCTCTCTTATTTCTCCTTTGTTTCTTTATTTTTTTGTACCTTAGTAACTAGTGTGCGTAAAATTGTTCTCATCGGTATAAAACCTAATTGAACATTCTGGTTTGACCTATTTTAGAAACGGAATTTAGTTACAATCCACTCAAACCTCCAAGAATATAATAACAATTAAGTGAACAGTTCATGGATAAATCCGTTATCACTCGTGCTTGGCACTAAGACCTGTTGATAATGGACAGGATACGAAAAGTTAAAGCACGAGGCCAATATCTGCCCACCTTTCGTGATCAATACCTATGGAATCAGTAATTTTTTTTTTCGTGCGGCCAAAAAGCGGACATTCGCTTCATCTTGCCTGAATACTGCTTGAAAACGAAGGTAACTGCATAGCTACAGCTGATGCAAATAATGCATCCGCGCGTTTGTCGGCGTGAATTTGTTGTCTACAAAACAATCAACCGGACTAGGGACAACTATTTAAAAGAGTTGTCATTTTTAAGTAACCTTTCTCTATTCGTAGTAACGGCTCCTTCTCCAAGAATATAGAGGCTTTTATGTCAATTCATCCACTCTCAAAAGTATAAACAAATTAAATACTCATCGCAAGACTCGGCTTAAAAATACGAATGCAACTTTTGATTTCAAAGATCTGTGGTACAATTCTAGACCTGAAATAAACTTACTTTTCCGCTTTATGACTGTGGATGAACATTGGCCGGTCAATAATTATTGATCACGACCAGTGCTTACAAATATACCTGGTATTTTTCCTGTTGTTGGTTGAAACTCTAACAAATGTCAGCCTTATATTAGGAGTCCTTAATGTTTAATCGCATTAAAGCAAATGCTTAGCTAATGCTAAAGTTAGAGGCCTTTTCTAAAGTAGTTCTATTGAGACGACGCTGATGGTTTAAAGGAGCTTTGTCACGAAAATTCAAATTGTACGAATTGCGGCAAATTGGGTGAAAAAAAATAATTTACAGCTCAAAACATCAAACAAGGGTGTAAATAGTACAGTTGATACGAAAGGAGACGCGAATTGACAAACTTGAAGAAGATTAAAACGGGCTGAAATCCTGGGTTTTCAGATAGGATATAATGCTGTCAGTAGGTCAACTATGTCAACTATGAGCTGAAATCATTTCTTAACGCCTCTATTCATACAAAAAATGCTCCCGTTATGAAGAAGATTTCAAACAAATTTTACAAGGGAGCATTAACCATAATAATTTTTTGCTGGGTTTTGCATTTTTGCATTTTTTGCATTTCATTGAAACTTAAAGAGTTTGGCCCAAAAAATCAACTTTCAATCCATTTCCATCCTTGCAAGCCATTGCAAGAGATAAAAGGAAACCATTTTCAATGCCTAATTATAGTCTTAAATAACAAAAATGAACCATTATCATTTCAATTCTATTGATGCCAGAAATGTTTTAGCTTCTCAAAGAGATAGCTACTATCGTGACATAGCCTCTTTAAACTTCAATAATTTGATTTCTTCCCTAACCGTTAAGTTCCAATAGCGAATATATATAAGGAAGCGTTATGGCACTGTTAACGAAACGAATTAGACTACCGAGACACAGCACTTTTTTAATTTGAGGCTAATCCAATGGTCTAACAGTTGAATATTGTCTTTGTTACGGCTGGCTTAACGAACCTCTGTCATTGTACTGTATCATTAACGTAACACGTAACTATTTGATATACCAAACCAGTGTTCTTCCGCCGGCAATCGTTTCTATCGTTCGTTAACTGGTTATCCATAAAATTTTAGCTACTCTTGAGCATATTTTTCTATGTATCCTTTAATAACTCAGTACTTGCTGGGCAAGAAATGCCTTTGCGAACA